TTATTTAGGGAACAGTGGAGGGGATCACCACTGTGGTCCACAAACAATTCTGTTTTCGTGCCAGGCTGTATCACGATCTGTTGGCCTATTGTACAGTTATGTAGGCCATAGATGGTACAAAATTAATCCGATTTTTAATTAGATAAACGACATATCACGGTCTTGTATCCGACGTAACCACCAATGATTAAGCTGATTGAGCCGTGAAAATCATAACCTGTAACAGGAAATTATGTCATTTTGTGACCTTTGTTACCCTCCCACACTCTACGTAGCCTGCCGGAAGGAGACATCAGCATCGTGTCGTACGTATGAATTATCGTGATTCATTCAATGAAAATGCCACAAAAAATATCCAAATGAAAAATGGCCATTATGGTGCTTGGCCTATTATCAGTGGAGGAAAAAAAAAAAAAAGAAACAAAGGAAGAGCAGAGTATGGTCCAAAGACTGGCTTCTTTAACGGGCCATGTACCTACACATGAACCTGCTTTCCAATGTGAGAGAAAATAATCCTGATGACTTCAAAAACTATTTGCGAACGTTGCAGCAGTCTTTTGAGCTCCACCTAACCATGGTTGGACCGCTCATTAAGAAGACAGACTCTTTCATGCGAAAATCCAACAGCGCAGAGGAAAGACTCATAGCAACCCTCCGCTACCTAGCAACTGGAAGATCCTATGAATACCCAAATTTTTGTAAAAACGATCGTACGGTTTTTGACCATCAATGAGGAGAAAAACGGTCGTTTACCGAAAATTTCCCAACATGACCGATAATCCAAAAGAGAAAAAAACTCGAAAAACGGGCGACGAACTAACCCACACACGGTACGAAAATCGGATGATTTTTCTTTTGGCCGAAAGAAACGGCCGTTTTTTTGACCCTTCTATGGCCTGCATTAGTTGACAAATGAGGTCTAATGCTCAATGGGAAATGTTTACACTTTGCCAGCTACAAGATTTCATGGTATAAAAGCTTTAATACAGTAGTGAGGCTTAGCTAGTAAGTGTATTTTTTTGCACATCACTCTCTACTCATAACACATTTTTTTCCATGAGAGCTTATTCACATCAGCAGAGCATGTTTTGCTGTGCTTTTAGGGTTTTCTTAGTACCATGTGACGCAAGAGTTGTATTCGGACAAATGGTTAGTTTTGAGATGGTGTTTGATATTTTGTTATATTATTTTGTGTTGAATAAAGCACAGTTTAACACTAAGTGTGTGTTAATGCTGCACACCTCCTCCAGGGATTTTACACCATATACTGTACCTAAAGCCTGTGATATTTTTTTTTAAAGCATATACATATAGCCTATGCAGAGTGAAAAGCTGTGCATGAAACCTAGCAAGTCCACCTACAAGTTTGCTTGCAGAATTCTGCAGGGGAAGGATAGAAGACTGTGCACTAGCCACTTCCTGTCCGGACACATTTTCCCCCTTCCAGTCCAGGCCAATTTTCAGCTTTCAGCTCTATCACACTTTGAATGACAATTGCGTGGTCATGTAACACTGTACACATATGAATTTTTTAGCATTTTTTTGAGACCGATAAAACTTTATTTTGGTGGTATTTATCCACCAGTGGGATTTTTATTTTTTTGCTATATAAATGAAAAAGTCCAAAAATTTAGAAAAAAAGTGTTTTTTCTTATAACATTTTGCAAATAAATCTTTTTTCATAAATCTTGGCCAAAATTTATTCAGTTATCCTTTTAGTAAAAAAAAAAAAAACCCAAATTAGTTTATAACCAAAAATTATAATTTTTCAAAAAAACATTTTTTTACATTTTTTTTTTTAAATTTTTTTATATTATTTGTTTTTTTTTTGTTGTTTTTAGTTTTTTTTTTAACATACTGTCACCCTAGCAGTACAGTGTCACCATAGTGACACTGTACTACTTGTGGGGGGGTGATGATTTTTTTTTTTTTTTTTCCTTACACTGATCGCTTTTACACCCATAAAGGCTGTAAAAGCAATCATTTCTCCTTCTCTCTGGCTGCATTCTTGCAGTCATTGAGAAATACTGTGTGAGCTGTGATTGGTTACAGCTTGTCACATGGTACAAGGCTGTTGTGAATAGCCTTGTACCATGTGATCTCTGTGATCATTCACAGATTTAACACGTAGTAATGAATGATGTCAGAAGTGACATGTTGCTTACTACTATTCATGTGATCACTGATTGGCTAATCAGTGATCACATGATTGGGACCTCACACAGAGGTCCCGTACAGTGATCGGTGCCGCGTGCTCCCAGGGAGCGCGCACAGTCCAAAATGAACGGCAACCCGCTCCTGCACTGCTCCCATCCGGCCATTTATAGACTTGGGCCGAATGGGAAGTGGTTAAAGTGGTAGTAAACTCTATTCTTGTATTTTTACCTGCAGGTAAGCTTATAATAAAGCCTACCTGCAGGTGAAATGAATATCTTCTAAACATGCACTGTTTAGGAGATATTCTAGTGAGCAGCAGCCCGTGACATCACTGGCGCATGTCTCTGAAGAAATGGCATACTCTTGCCATTCCTTCAGAGCTCTGTGCTACGACCGTGACATCATGGCGGCTCGAGAATTTAAGTGGCTGCAGCCTGGGAACCCAAAAGGAAGACCAGGTGAAGATGGAAGCCTCTGCAGCGGTGACAGTGTGCTGCTGGAGGGCTTCGTTTCAGGGTAGGTCTTTCATAATGTGCTAGTATGTGATGCATACTAGCACATTTTGTCTTTACCTTGCAGGAGGGAATCTTCTTTTTTTTTCTAACTGTACAAATGTTTAAGAGAAACTCCTGCTAGGAAATGCAGGAGTTCCATGTCAAATTACCGTATTTTTCGCTCCATAAGACGCACCTGACCATAAGACGCACCTAGGTTTTAGAGGCGAAAAACAAGAAAAAAAAATATTCTGAACCAATGGACTGCAGAGATAGTACAGGAGATGACCAGAGACTGCGGACATAGTACAGGAGATGACCAGAGACTGCGGACACAGTACAGGAGATGACCAGAGACTGCGGACACAGTACAGGAGATGACCAGAGACTGCGGACACAGTACAGGAGATGACCAGAGACTGCGGACATACTACAGGAGATGACCAGAGACTGCGGACATACTACAGGAGATGACCAGAGACTGCGGACATGTACAGGAGATGACCAGAGACTGCGGACATACGGTACAGGAGATGACCAGGGACTGCAGACATAGTACAGATGACCAGAGACTGCAGACATAGTACAGATGACCAGAGACTGCGGACATAGTACAGGAGATGACCAGAGACTGCGGACATAGTACAGAGATGACCAGAGACTGCGGACATAGTACAGGAGATGACCAGAGACTGCGGACACGGTACAGGAGATGACCAGAGACTGCGGACACGGTACAGGGATGACCAGAGACTGCGGGCACGGTACAGTAGATGACCAGAGACTGCGGACACGGTACAGTAGATGACCAGAGACTGCGGACACGGTACAGGAGATGACCAGAGACTGCGGACACGGTACAGGAGATGACCAGAGACTGCGGACACGGTACAGGCGATGACCAGAGACTGCGGGCACGGTACAGGAGATGACCAGAGACTGCGGGCACGGTACAGGAGATGACCAGAGACTGCGGGCACGGTACAGGAGATGACCAGAGACTGCGGGCACGGTACAGGAGATGACCAGAGACTGCGGACACGGTACAGGAGATGACCAGAGACTGCGGACACGGTACAGGAGATGACCAGAGACTGCAGACACGGTACAGGAGATGACCAGAGACTGTGGACATAGTACAGGGAAAATACCAGGGACACAGTACAGATGACCAGAGACTGCAGACAGTGCAGGGAATAACCAGAGACTGCAGACAGTGCAGGGGATGACCAGAGACTGCAGACAGTGCAGGGGATGACCAGAGACTGCAGACAGTGCAGGGGATGACCAGAGACTGCTGACCTTTGGGGAGGGAGGGGGAGCGGGTACCTGAATTTGACAGGTACCCGCTCCCACTTCCGCGGAGTTGTCTTTCCCTCTTCCCGCGCCGGCTTCTGTGACAGCCGGGTGCCCACTGCGCATGCACGAGAAGCGCTGCGCTTTGTGAATGGCCCGGCGCCTTCTGGGACCTGTCATGTGTCCCAGAAAACACTGGACCATTCACAAAGCGCAACGCATGCGCAGTGGGCACCCGGCTGTCAAAGAAGCCAGCGCGGGAAGACTGTGCAGTGCTGGAGCGAGGAACAGGTAAGGCCTTGCAGGAGACAACAGCTGAGCGGCCGGCCCGGTATTCTGACATGGTGGCGGCAGAAGTACCGGACCAGCCGCTTTATATTCGCTCAATAAGATGTAACTGACATTTTCCCCCCTTTTTTGGGGGGAAAAAAGTGCGTCTTATGGAGCGAAAAATACGGTACTTCAAAGGCACAAAGGGCACCAAGATTTAAATACAATAATAATACACATGCCTATATTTAGGCAATATGTGTTTAGCCCAGTTTTCAATTTGAAGCATATTAATGAATACTGATCCTTATTTTGAAATACTTACTTTACTTTCTTTGTTGCTAACTGAGGCTCTGAAGACTAAAGTGGAAATAGTCTCTTTGATTGTTTGTGAAATGACACTTTCCTACATATGACTGTTTAAGTGGAATATCCAACTTGAACTTGGCATTTAGTAACCTCCAATATGTGTTGTCATGAACATTGGTTTGCATGTTTAGAACTGGATGCTAAAGCAAGTAGTTAGCTCATCTATGTAATTCTTCCAGAGCATTTCAGAATTTAATCACGTCTTAAAACTAAAAATACTTCAAATGATGTGTCCTGGGAGCATTCTAGTAGACTGTTTTGCAGAAGATCTAGTTTGGAGGTCTTTCGATTGCATTCTTTAAACACCAGGTTGTACTGTACCATATGCCCTGCATTTGAAAAAATTTGATCTTTTTTTTTTTCTCACTATGTTATATTAAATGCACTTTTACCCAGCTATTTTTTCTCATACAGGAACAATATCAGCGCGCTCATCTTTTGGATGAACAGTATTTACCATACCATGGCCACAACTCCTTCCGTGAAAAGTATTTTAGTGGATTAACCAAGAGAATTGCAAGAGAAGAAAAAGCCAAAGTGGGAGAGAATTCCACAGATTGCAGATCTACTAAAGCACCACATAATGCTACCAGACAGCAATCAGCCAACCAATAAAAAACATGTTTTTAAGTGAAGGAAAGCTCAATAATGCAGCCAGTGACTTGACAATACTGGCTGAAATGTATAGAACTCTTACTGTCTCCTGGATTGGAACACAGTGCAGTATTAAGTGAATAATACTTCAGTGTTTGGTAACAAATGTAAACTTTTTTAAGCTTGTGCTACAGAAAGATAATTGCTTAGCAGGTTATAGAAACGAAACAATATGGAATACCTTGAAGTTTTTTTTTAATGTAAAAGATATCACAGTTGTGTGCGGCTCACATACTGAATGTGTTTATTTACTTCTCAATAGACTTTTGCAGGCAAATTGGAATACCACCAACTTATTACCACTTACCTGTTTGTAACATGTTCTCATTCACATAGCATAACTTAAAATATATTTAAAACTGCTGCTCATCTTTTTTACTTTCTTAAAAATCCTACCTAATTTCACCTTTTATGTAAGATTAAAGCATAACTACACTGCATCTGAGCACCACAAAGCAAAACTGCTATTTAGTTCATTTCTATATTCAGAATAAACGCCCCATCCATCCATGCCTCTATGCTTATGCCTTAAAAATCACTTTGAAAAACACCCCTCTAGCATTGCTGGCCATGGCCATATTAGGGGCAAGTGTTTCACATAACATTGACTTCCTGGAATCCATCTGCCCTTAGTTCAGGCATACAAGCAAGAGGATGTGCTTAGCTAAGAAAACACTTCCTCCTATCCAGAAGACTCCTGGGATCCATGACATAATTTGCCTAGGCAAGAAACCTGGAAGTAACTGAAGAAGAGTAAGAAAAAAATTGTTTTAAACAAGTAAACATGATATACTTCCATATCTATTTACTTTTTGCTAGCAGAATAAGGATTAAAATCAATGTTACTTGAGAGAGTGAAATTCCACTTTAAGGAAGGAGTTATTATAATTAAACCTGTCTGTACTGTGCTGGCAGATTTCACTATCCGTTTTACACTAAATGTGCATACTGTCTGCCTAAACAAACTTTAAAGATCTCAAGGATTTGGTGGTACGTTGGGGGGAAATTACCAAAACTGGAGAAGCCAAAATGTGGAGCAACTTTGCATGGCATCTGCAGCTTGTTCAGGTAAGCTTTGAAAATGCATGGCAACCAATCATCTTCCAACTTAAACTTGTTCATGTAAGCTTTGAAACTGAAAGATGGAAACTAATTGGTTGCCATGCACAGTTGCTCAGTTGATTCTGTCTCCTCCAATTTTGATAAATTTCCCTCATTGTATATTATTGCACTTAAAAAAAAAAAAAACTATCCCTACCTCTGTCCCATTGCGAAACTATTTTGAACAATTTTAAGCTGCGTATAGGGTCCTATGTATAAACCCGCTCCAAAGAATCAATTAGGTAATATTTAAAAAACATTTTTTTAGGTATGCTGTGGGAATGAGAACACGCAACAAACCTGTTATGGGGGTTTCTCAAAATATATTGCATAGTGGAAATGTACTTTTGACTTGGTTGGATTTTTAACTACTGATATTTTCATTTATTTCATCATCATTATTTACAAGAAGTTTGTACTTGTACAAGTAGTTTGTATATAGTTCTGTACATTAGGTATGGTAAGACGTTGGAGGTTTGTGAATAACTAACAGCAATGCATTGTAATAGCATTATGTACAATACCCTGCCACCTGTCTTTAAATCCAAAGTAGTCTGCACCCACTCTTACTAAGGGCTTACCAAAGGGTTAAGGTAACGGCAAAAAACAACATTTCATGGTGGTTTTGAGAGCTGTGAGGTTTCTGGTTTACATTTGCCTTTTTTATTGTATATAAACCTGCGCTGTGTATTTATGATCTTTTTAATGGGAATTAGCACTGCTAAGTGGCCACAGAGCTGGAGCTCACTGGCTGCTGCGTCTGTCTTTCACAGAAGGAAGTTGTACTGTTTGCTTTTCAGTCTCGGACCTCTGGAATTTGTTCTCAACATGTAAGGGTGATGAAGTGTCCCTCATTAGGGAGATTGCTTTCATTTGTTTTTGTTTGTAATTGATACACATTAAACACACACAATCTTACTTTGTCTTCCTACAATAGTGTTGCATGCAAGGACCCTTTGTGGTTTGTTATTGGTCTGACCCAGGCCAGTTATGTTAAGCCCAAAGGACTGACTAAGGCTTGGAAGGCTATGGTATTCAGTTGAGCCTGTCCACATCTGAAGCTCATCTGTTCCTTTTCATTTGTTTTTACATTCCTAAAATCTGTCTCTCTGAAGACAACTGAGTTTATGTTGGGGTTTTTTTTACTTTCTTTCATTACATTTTTTTTTAAATTTTTTTGGAGTCAAAACAAGGTGTGGTATTCTACTTACGTTGACACTGAAACACTTTCTTTGAAACCGAAGCTGTGTTTAGACTTTTGCGTTCCTCTATTTTTCTTCAGAGGTAATACTTTGCTGATTTTACCTTGTCACACTGGGGCAGCTAACCATAAAGATGAATCACTAAAAGCTAGTTTTGTGGTTAGTAAGGCGTTGCTTCCTATTGCACTAGTCCAGCACAGAGTAGGTGAAAAGGACAGGGAAAGTGTGGGACTGGAGTGAACTGATGACTCCACTATTAGTCAACCACCCATTGCACTCTGAAAGCCCAGTACATTTGGTGCTTAAAAGTGTATAAATTGGAAGAGCATGAGAAACCAAATGTGTGCAGAGTGACCGCATGGCCTACATAGTGACTGGAAACTGCCTGCATTTGAGATCCTGCATGTTGGCATATAAAAAGAAAATGCAGACTGATACTATGAAAACAGATGATGCTGTTATTTGTAATCTGGACTTTTTTTTATGTTTTGCATAATATTATTAAAGATAGTTTTTAAATTGCTTACATCTTAAGATTCTTTAGGTATTTGTTTGCTTTGACGGACTCCCATGAAACATCACGTACCAAAGCTGACCTTGCATTTTGATCAGATAAATTGTAAATAGAAAAACTTAGAGAATGTACAGTCTTTTAAATGTTTTCTTTTTTTTAATAAACAAAAATAGATTGGTTCAATGTAAATGATCTTATCTGTATCATTACTGTTTTAAAAACCTTGTTGGCTTCATTCTTGACTGGGCCATTAATATTCCTGGCTATGTTCTGTATCAGAGAGACAAGGTAAAACAGAAAGGTGGTGGTGGTGTCTGTCACTGTGAGAAGTCATCTCAGAGTGGTGTGAAAGAGGACCTAGTTGATGGAGAGTGTGATTAGGCTGAAGTATTATGGGTGGAACTGCACATGGAGGTATGTACTACAAAGGTAATCATTGGAGTTTCTTGTAATCAGTGTTAATGAGGAGGTGGAGACTCGGCTCCTTGCACAGATTGAAAGGGCTGTGAGTGCTGGGACAGTAATAATAATGGGGGTTTTTAACTACCAGGAAATTGACCGGAGTAATGGCACTGCAGGAACAGTTAAAGGGCAAACATTTATAAACCTATTACAGGACAATTTTATGGTACAGTTCATAGAGGCCCCAACTAGGATTGATGCTCTGCTGGACCTGGTAATCTCAAACCATGCAGAGCTTATTGCTAATGTCCATATAAAAGAACATCTGGGTAGCAGTGACCATAACATGATTTAATTTATTGTTGGCTGTAAACAACAAGCACATGTGGGAAAAATAAAACCGCTCAACTTTAAGAGAGCTAATTTTCCAAGGTTGAGAGCTGCCCTCCAAGACTTAGACTGAATATTGGCATCGATGAACACAACACAAAAATGGGAGTTCATCAAAAAGACTGTATGTTAACACACTGCAAAATATATTCCCATGGGCAACAAGTTTAAAAGGCTAAAAATCAAACCTATGTGGCTTACGGCCAAAGTCAAAAAAGTATAAATAAGAGCTTTTATTAATTATAAAAATGAAGGAATGCTATCATCGTTTAAACATTACAAAGAATAAAACAGAATATGTTAAAACGAAATCAAGGCCAAAAAAAATGAAAACGAATGACAGATTGCAAAAGATAGCAGGACAAACCCCCAAAAATTCAAATATATTAATAGTAAAAAGGTCCGGACTGAGCATGTAGGCCCTTTACAAAATAATCTAGAGTGGGTGACTGGGGACAAAGAGAAGGCAAATTTATTAAATACCTTCTTCAGCTCTGTATATACAAAGGAGCATGGGGGAGCTCTTGTCCATAATGGGCATGGTATTGACACAGCTCCAGATGATCCACATTGGCTCACAACTGATATGATCAAGAAATATTTAGACAGAATAAAGGTGAATAAAGCACTTGGACTGGATGGCATACATCCGCGGGCCCTTAAAGAATTGAGCTCTGTCATTTCAAAGCCATTGTTTCTAATATTTAGGGACTCTTTAATGACTGGCATAGTGCCTATATTTAAAAAGGTATCAAAATCTTTACCAAGTGATTATAGTGCTATAAATATTTTAAGCAACAGACAGCATGGATTCATGAAAGACAAATTGTCAAACAAATTTGATTTCTTTTTATGAGGAGGTGAGCAAAACCTTGGACAGACGAGTAGCTGTGGACGTGGCATACTTGGATTTTGCAAAAGCGTTTGACACAGTTCCCCACACATGGCTAATGTGTAAGGTAAAGTCTACAGGCTTGGAAAAATCTGTATGTAAATGGATCGAAAACTGGCTAAAAGATCGTATTCAGAGAGTAGTGGTTAATGATTCATACTCTGAATGGTCTAGGGTTGTCATACTGTTTCAGTCTTTGCAGATGACACCAAGCTATGCAGTGGAATAACGTCCTTACAGGATGTCTCCAATTTACAAGTCAACCTCAATGCACTGTTAAATTGGGCAACTATGTGGCAAATGAGGTTTATTAATGTTGATAAATGTAAGGTTATGCACTTGGGGACTAAGAATATGCATGCATCATACATTGTAGGGGGGGTACAACTGGGGGAATCAATGGTGGAGAAGGATCTAGGAGTTCTGATAGATCACAAGCTTAACCTTTCTAGCAGTAATC